GATCCTCTGCACCACATAAAAATGAATAAACAAAATAAAATTTAAAAAAAGAATCATTTTGAGTGACAGTACTCAGCATAGAGTCTGGAGTATGATTAATGTTGGTAGGATCCCTTTCTCCCATATAACACCCATAAGGCTCTATGCATCTTTGTTTATGACCATAAAATAATGTAATGATGATGAGAGGAGCCCTTCCCCTTGGATGAGTTTCCCTCTTGGTTTCCAAGTGATCTGTCACAATTTGAGTGCCATGTGTGCTGGTGAGAGAACTGGGTAGTCAATATATACAAAGTCATTTAATCATTGAAGTTATCTAGACTTATAGAAATGAGAGCCAGGATCTTGCCCATAAACAAAGAAAAAGTGTCAGAATATCAAAAAGCCTCAGTTTCCTCATCTGCAAAGTGGAATAATAATGATACCTCATTTACTTGATATTAAGACTGAATTAAATAATATACTGAATGCAAAATACCTAGCACAATACTTGATAATACTAAGTGCTCATTAAATGGCAATGAAAATCATAAGTACTCCTTGCCAGGATCACAGTTAGATCCCTCTTCCACTAGATTCTTCCACTCATCTTCTCAGCTGAATGACCCCTGGATATCCCCTGAGGACATTGCTTCTCCTGCAGACTGAATGAAGGCTGCTCATTTTCCTGTGTCAGTTCAGGTTCTGGCAGGGAACAGCACCGTCATTCACTCAAATTGAGCAACAAGGAAGAGTTTAGTAACAGAAGACAGAAGCCAATGCATGTGGCTTAAGGAGGAAAGGAGTGGGAGGAATAAGTGCTCTACTTCATTCTCTGAACTCCTATTCCTGCCTATAATTGGCAGAACCCATTTGGAAGCCAAAGTGCAAGAGAATCCATTGATGTGGCCCATAAAACTTCATATGAGAGTGATCTGGAAGAGGAAGCAAAGAATATTTAGCACAACCCAGGACCACATCCATTTGGTTCTGGAGGTAGACGACATCCTCCTTGTGCCCTAATGAGTCTTCCAGAGTGATTACTTGTCACTTTTTATCAATTCAGTAGTTTTGGTGCTTTCCATCAGAATCAGATAAAGGTACAACTGCTAAGAAACAAGACTCTTTATATTGGGACTTCTTGCTGGAGCAGAAGGGAGACACAGCACTAACCAAGAGAGTGTCAATATGCTCTTTGGACAAAGAGATAGCTGGTATTATTCATGTAAAAGGATGGTGGTAGGAGTGGCCTAGAGTTTCAGAATTGGATTTAGGGGCATTTATGAAGGTGTTTTCTTTTCTTCGGTTTTCAGCCGGGAGGGAGGGGTAGTGTGCTAGATGTTGCATCTTTCATGTTGAAGCCTCGTCCTGCATAAACATCTTTGCCCTGTGATGAGTTGCTGTAACTGTTAAGAGAACATACAGATAGGGTATAGAAGAAAACACAAATTGTTTGAGTAACAAGGTAAGGGTACTGGGAAATTGCTATTTCAGTGACTGCTCAATATTTTTATCTTTATGTTGTTTATCCTGAGAGAGTAGAAAAAGGCACCTATGTTCTTTTAAATTTATTTCATTTGTTCTTTTTAGTTTTACATGACAGTAGAATGTATTTTTGAGATATCATATATAAATGAAGTGTAACTTCCCATTTTTGTGGTTGAACATGATATGGAGTTACACTGGTTATATAATCATATATAAACAAAAGAAAGTTATGTCTGATTCATTTCTATTGTCTTTCCCAATCCTATACCTGCTTTCTTCCCCTCAATCCCCACTGTCCAATCTAGTGAACTTCCCCTCTCCCCACTCATCGTGAATCAGCATTTTATATCAAAGAGAACATTTGGCCTTTGTTTTTTGGGGATTTGCTTATTTCACTTAGCATGATAGTCTCTAGCTCCATCCATTTACTACCAAATGCCATCATTTCATTCTTCTTTATGGCTGAGTAATATTCCATTATGTATATATACCACATTTTCTTTATCCATTCATCTATTGAAGGGCACCTAGGTTGGTTCATAGCTTAGCTATTGTGAATTGAGCTGCTACAAACATTGATGTGGCCGCCTCTTCTATAATATGCTGATTTGAGTCCTTTGAATATATACTGAGGAGTGAGATAACTGGGTCAAATTGTGGTTCCATTCTAAGTTTTCTGAAGAATCTTCATACTGCTTTCCAGAGTGGTTGCACCAATTTGCAGTCCTACCACCAATGTACGAGTGTACCTTTTCCCTCACATCCTTACCAACATTTATTGTTACTAGTTCTTGATAATAAGGCACAGGCTTTTAAGAGCTAACAAATCATAAGTTAAGATGGGGGAGCAGGGAAAAACACATACTCTTTTAATAGTTAACAGGCTATAAGTTAAGGTACCTAAAGTGCATTTGCCCTTTTTTGGGGGCTGGCTCATTTCCCCCTCCAAGTTTTCATTCTCTTAATCTTAAGGAGTGCTGCTTTTCATGGAGGGTCCTGACTATCTTACACTGAAAGCCTTGAGTACATATTTTTCCTCTATTAAGACTCTGTCTTTTATCTCTAACACCATTTAGCACTATTAGTTAGCACTAATGATGATCTCACCACTGCCTCTCCTTCAGTGAAACCTTAGGATTCCATTCTAAGTCCTGGTGACCCCAAATTCATGTGAATCAGTCAACATCTAACACTTAGTTTCTGGACTTCCTCACCTTCAGTGACTTCCAGTTTCTTTTGTCTTCAGTCATCAGTCCTATAGCCACACCCAAGTTCTTGACAGAACCTAGAGAAGGCCCCTCTCCACTGAAATTGAGAATCCACAGACCCTTGTCAAGAACTGTGAAGGGTCTGATATTATGTCTTCCCCGATACAGGATGATGGCCTGTTACAGTTTTAGTTGTGCTGGTGAAAAACAATAACAACAACAACAGCAAAACACAAAAGTCCTGGATCAGAGATTAAAGGTAATTTGTTATTCATACCAAAAGCATTAGAAAGATTATTCAAAAATTTCTGCTGGTTTTTTGAGTCCCAATCCCCACGAGCAATGCCCATGGGGCTAGATGACACCTGCAAACTCAGTGGGTGGAATTATAGGAAAGGAATGCTGAGTTTAGGAACCAGAATATTTTATAATGAGTAGTACACATCCCTGTGCTCCATGATGTAATGCTCTTTTTCTTCCAATATTATACACAAACTTTCCCTTTGCTTTGGAGGAAAACATTATGTCTACCTTCTAAGGTTGTTAGCTGGATTAGATTAAAAATTTAATATAAAATAGTAGATTCCTCAAGCTCACTGTTCTTCAGTCAGATGCAAATCCATAACATGTTAACATATATCTGGGCCACGGTATTATCAGGGTGGGACTTGAAAAGAACAAGGGGAACACAGGCAAAATCGAGGATTATGATGCTTGCTGTGTTGTGATGATAAAGTGTCTTTTGACTTTGACCCAGGAGTCTCCAGTCTTTGGCTGGCATCCAACCTTTTAGCTGGCAAATAAGGTAAAATCAAACCCTTGATACCTATGACATACCAAAAGTTAATTTATTTTGGTTTTTCAAACAAGTCATGCCCTAGGAGACATCACATATGTTATTCTCTCTGCCCAAAATGTTTCAGTCCTTCTCTTGTTGACCTCTGTGGGTTTCTCTGGGAAGCCTTTTTCTGCAGCCTCCCGTTCCCCATCACTTGACTGAGTTATATCCCCCTCTTCTGAATCTCACAGAGCCTTGTGTTTCTCTAATCATAGCACTTATCACAATGTATTGTAATTGTTTATTTACTTGTTCCTTTCTTCCCCAACACTGTAGGAACTTTGTGATGTTAAAGGTAGTATCTTCTAAATTATATTCCCAGATTTAGATATATTGTAGGTGCTAAGTAAGCATTTTCAGAATGAATGAGGTGTTATAGAAAATGCATAAAGCAGTATAAAAGTACAAAGAAAGAACACTGAAATCAGAATGGAGGTCTGGGAAAGGGCTCCAGAATCCATGACATTTGAGGCTGATCTGAAGGATGAGTTGGTTAGGTTGAAAAGCTTGCAAAGAGAAAGGTGTTCAGGCACTGAGAATGATATAAGAATGCACAGAAGTGGAAATAGTGTCTTTGAGAGACTACCAATGATTTAGTGTGGCTGCAACTAGGGTCAGAGTGATGGGGAGGCAGGAAATAAACCAGACTGAGGAGCAGGGAATCTGGATTTTCATTTCATCTCAAGCTTGGACTTTTGGTTAAAGATAAAAGGCACATCCTTCCACGTATATTGTGACAATATAACATTAAATAGTAAGAAATAATTGCCATTTAAGATAACTTGGGTTTGGTGGATTGGGGAATGTAGCTAAGTGTTACAGTGCTTGCCTAGCACACGTGAGGTCCTGGGTTCAATCTCTAGTACTAAACAGGACAAATAATACAAATGAAAACTTGGTTTGCAATGTTGGTTCTGAGGTTCACCCCCCCCCACACACTTTTTTTTCCCTTTTATGGTACTGGGGATTGAACCAAGAGGGGCTTTACCACTGAGCCATATCCCCAGCCCTTTAAAAATTTTTTTTGAGACAGGGTCTCGCTTAATTCCTGAGGCTGGCTTCAGCCTCCTGAGCCGCCGGGATTTCAGGTGTGCGCCACTATCAGGGACCAGTTTGGTAACTTGGGGCCAGTCACTTTGCTGAGCCGCTGAAGCAGTGATGAATGTATCTACTTCAAGAAGTGTTTTGTAAAGATTAAATGTGATAAAATGCCTGATACACGGCAATACTCAATAATGTTAGTTTTCCCTTTTATTTTCCTTCCAGGCCTCGTCTCCGTCTTCCTCATCCGCAGACGACGCACGCCAAGCCGCTCTTCTGGAGGTTCCGAGACCCCGGCTTAGCAGAGGAAGAACCACGCAGCACCAGTCAGGTACTGGTACTTCGGACCAGTCCCGCCCCGGCTGCGCCGCGTGGTGGCGCTCTAGGATGTTCTTCGGTGCTCTATGGTTCTTCCTTCGCCCCGGAAGTGGTTACGCGTCGGGGTTAGTAAGGTCGGGCCATGGTGGGACAGAGGTTGGGAAGATGGCGTGGCGAGGCTGGGCACATAGAGGCTGGGGCTGCTGCCAGGCGTGGGCTCCGCCGAGGGGTGGCCGCAGCTGCAATGAGCTCATTACCGCCCTGGCCCCGCCGCGGCTGCTCGGACGCAGGTAATGGCTTCTCCAGGCTTGTAGCTTCTGGGTCCCTGAACTGTGGCCGCGCATCCTCGGGGGCAGAGGCCATCCGGGGCGTTCATCCCTTTCTTACTTGCTTTCTCCCCCTCCTCTACTACTTTGGCCTTCGTTCAGTTCCTTGGTGTGCGTCGTGAGCTGCCCCGGCTTAATCCCCTGCTGAGTCCGGGCTTTCCACATTCCTATTGGGAGAGAAATGATGGGAAGAGGAGCTAACAGTTGAGGGCTAATTGCTGCCACACTTAATAATCCTGAGAGGAAAATATTGAACCTAGTTTTTAAGTTGTTTTTAACAAGCAGTTGTATAGTTGGTAGAACAGTAGAGCTGAGATTTTATATTCCATCAGTCGGGGTATTAAGCCTGTGTTTCACTACAGCCAATTACCTTCTTTAGCGTTTAGACGGCCAAGAGAGGACGGAGTCAGAGGAAAATATCACTGTGCCTCTTGCAAAGTCCTAAGAGACTTTTCTGCTGAATTGAGACAGCGAAGGAAAGCCACCTAACGTGCCCGAGTAGAAGCTGTGTGAAGAGTATGGTCTAACAGTAATTGCTGGTTTTGCATTAAGATAAATTCTAAATTGAGATGATAAATCCCTCAACAGTCCAAGAATCTAATATGTATTGACTTTGAAATTTCATTCCAGTTTTTTTTTTTTTTTTTTGGTACTGGGGATTGAACTCGGGAGCCACATCCCCAGCCCTATTTTGTATTTTATTTAGAGACAGTGTCTCACTGAGTTGCTTAGCACCTCGGGGTTGCTGAGGCTGGCTTTGAACTCTGTCCTCCCATGTGGCTGGGATTAGTGCCTGCCTCATCCAGATTTTTAATCCTCTTAATTTCTGACTTGGTTAGATGGTTGTCTCAAATCCACCTGATGGGAGCAAGGACCCTGAGTTGTTCATCAACTTCTGAGCTCACCAGTGGTGAATAACTAAAGCTTCTATACGTTGAAGCTATTGTGTAATCTTGAGCATCGCCTGGAGGGTTTACAGAGTTTGTCATTTCCCATGCTTCACCCTAAACCTATAAAATCAGAATCTGGAGAGGGATAGGAAGAATGGAAGAACTAGTATTAAGTACAAGCACTCCAGCTGAATTTTATTAGGCATTTGTGAAAAACTTTCATACAATGTATCTTAGCTTAATGATACTGTATCCTGGAGCTGAGGAGATCAGGTGGAGGTAGTGAGATTAAAAATAGTCCTGATACTATTTAATCTGATACTGTTTAACTCCCTTTTGAAATTCCATGGTTTGAGGGCTAAGAAAGAATGAAAGAATAAGAGGCTGAGCGAGAGCTGAGGCAGAATGACTAAAAGTTCAAAGTCAGCCTTAGCAATTTAGTGAGACCCTAAGCAATTTAATGAGACCCTGTCTCAAAATATTTAAAAAGGCCTGGGGTTGTGGTTCAGTGGTTAAGTGCCCGAGCACCAAAAAAAAAAAAAAAAAAAAAAAAAAAAAAATCAGGAAAAGAAATGTTTAGGAAGAATTCTAACTTGATTAATGAGGAGCTTCCAATAAAAACTGGCTGTAAAGACCATTTGGAACAACAATGAGCAAGAAATGTGTGATGATGAAGATTAACACCTGATTTTTTTAAAAGCTTGCTACTTATGTGGAAAGTTTGAAAGTGACATTTTTGTGGTTGTATATAAAAATGTGCTTTACTTGAAAATGTGAGTAAGCCTGAAATAGTATTTGCTCCTTGTCTCTGGAAACAGGCACTTAAAGTTAATAGGGAATATGAATTACCTTCTATATAACCTTTATTAGGTCTGCTTTGAGTTCTTCTGGTTCTAAAATCAGTGTGCAGAATAATGATTCAGTCCATGTGACTGATGTAATGGGCCTGAAGAGGGGCCAGGCATTGTAGGTGGTGATACAAGAATCTACAAACTTATGCAGATCCAGGGTGCCCACCAAGAATGATTTCTACATTTTTAAAGGGTAAAACAAAAAAGTAAGATGTAACAGATTTCAGTCCAAAAAGACTAAAACATTTACTATCTAACCTTTTCATAAAAAAACTTCACGCTCTTCAGAAATTCTGTTATCAAGCTTCTGGCAGAACTTCTGAAAAACATTACTTAGGTTTGAAAATAGACCTGCATAATTTGCTGATTGTATGAAACTAAGGGAAGAAAAAAGTTGACTGTAGCACCTACGTAAGGATTATTTTTTTTTAGATTGAAGTGACAATCTTAAATATATTTAGGTAAGACACTTGGCAAATTAGTAAATCAGGTGTGTTAAATTACTTTCCCTGCTTAACCCATCATTATTTAAGGCTCTTTTTTCTCTTTCCTCACAACTGGGGATATAACTTATGGTAGAATGCTTGCTTACGTTTTCTTAAAACTGATCTTTTGGTGGGGGTATTAGGGATTGAACCCATCCCTAGTACCCCCACCAAAAGATCAGTTTTAAGAAAATTTAGGATTTCTCCTCAGCCCAAATATATTTATTTTGTTTTAAATGGAATGAATTTGATCTGTGTGCTTAGATACATCTTGTCTATTTTCAATATTAGGCCTTTCCTACTTAGTTTTGTTCATATAGAATTTAGTAACAGATATTAGCACTGACCCATATGTATATTTATCAACTTCTGAGCTCACCAGTGGTAAATAATTAAAACTTTATTATCACATTATCTTCATCTTCAAACTTGTAAAAACAATTCATAGTGAAACTATTATCTCACCAGTAAGCCAAATATATGGATATTTTTTATTATATGGATATTTTCAAATATATGGACTTTTTCTATTTAAAAGTTATGGGATCATATTAAGAACAGAACCATAACAATTGTGTGGCTACTAGAAACTCAAGAATCCAGAGCTCTGGTGGTAAAGTGCCCTGAGCTCAATCCCCATTTCAAAAAAGTAGGAACCGCTCTTACCTGGAGGATCAAATTCACCCTGCTGCAGGCCATAGTTTGTCAACCTCTAATTTAAAACCTCAGAAATGTATACTCTCAAATGTATCCTGCCCCAGAGACTAGTAAATTGGAATGTGAGTTTAATGAGATCCCCAGGTGATTTGTATGTAGACTAAAGTTTTCCCCAAGCCCTGGCAGCACATGAGAACTACCTGAAGACCTTGAGAAAAACCACTGAGGGCCTGGCCCCACTCCTAGAGGTTCCAGTTTAATTAATTCAAGCTGGGACCATGGTATGGCATTTTTAAAGAGAAATTCTAATGTGTGATTAACATTGAAAATTATTGCTTTAGACTAAATCTTCAGAATCTTAAATGCCACTACTGGTATGTGGATTAAAAAACATGGCTTTGGTATCTTGCAGCTCGCTTTATTCAGAGTAGGAGTTGATTTCCTTATTCCTTGAAGTTGGCCTTGTGACTTCCTTTGACCTGTAGTATGTGGCAGAAATATTACTAGGGGAGGCCTAAAGTCCAGAAGCTCAAGAGGCCTTGCAGCTTTTGCCCTTTTGGACATTCCCACTGCCATGGCAGACGCCCTTTCTAGACTACCAAATTCTGGGATTGTGCAGAGAGCGAGCTAGCTGACAACCAGCACTAAAGCTTCAGAATAAGGAGTGACACCTTCTTAGATTCCCCAGCTCCAGGCAAACAGTCTGATTATTGGCTGTTTGAGTGACCCAGGTGAGACCAGCAGAACTGCCCAGCTGAAGGCAGCTAACTGGCAGAATCATGAGAAATAATAAACTGTGGTCTTAAGTCAGTTTTAGAGTGGTTTGTTACGCAGTATTGAGGCAACTCGGAAAGGTGCCGCCAAATCAGGATCTGCTGACTAAAGAAAGATTTGTGCTGCTTCCACCATTATTTTTGGTAGCAAATACGATGCCTCAAATCTTTTTACTAAACTCAGTTTTGAATTCGAGTGAAATGCCAATGTGTCTCATTAGCATCTTATTTACATCTGAAACCCTCACTACAAGGGGACTTGGGGAATAGTTCTTGGCTTTCCACTGTGTACCTTTTGAATGCATCCTAGGCAATAGATTCAGTGAGCCAAGACATAGTATTGAATTTTATTCTGTATGTCCAAATGTAATTTTCTGTATCTACATACACACTTAATATATATATACTGTATCTGATAAGTTCTGAACTTAGCCCTGGGATCAGCTTGTTTAACACTCTTGTTAAGGTCCTCAACTCTGTGCTTGTTTCTAATGAGATTCACAAGGTAAATAGTGTAAGCAAAAGATCTGACTTTGCTTCTAGATTCCCACCCTAGTGTCTGTGTTTCTTTCCAAACATTGTGCTTCAAAATATTTTTTTAATATTTATTTATTTAGTTTTAGATGGACACAATATCTTTATTTTTATGTGGTGCTGAGGATCGAACCCAGTGCCTCACGCATGCCAGGCGAGCGCGCTACCACTTGAGCCGAATCCCAAGACCCTGTGCTTCAAAATTTTAAGTGAATGAGATGTGGAAGAAGTAATCTTTCACTAGATTTGGTTGATTAATTTAAGCTGTTGGCAATATAAAAGATTCATATACTTTGTATTTCTTGGTATAGTAAGAGAAATGAAAGGAACCACCAATACAACTTGTCTCTATAGTAAACATGTTCTGGTTACTTTGCCAGACCCTGTTTTGGTCCCCAGTGGCATTTTGTTTTGATTACTTCTTTGTTTACCAGATCTAAGTTACTTTGGAGTTTTTAAAAATATTTATTTATTTTTTTAGTTTTCAGTGGACACAACATCTTTATTTTATTTTTATGTGGTGCTGAAGATCGAACCCAGTGTCCTGCACATGCCAGGTGCATGCTACCGCTTGAGCCACATCCCCAGCCCCTGGAACATTTAATAGAAATCAAATCAATTGCAAAGACTTAACATCTACCATTTGAAATATCAGTTGGGATTTCATTTGGCTGAAAGTAAACTGATGGTTTGTTTAGACAAGTTATTTTAAGTATTATGAGATTATTGTAGTTAAGTGACTATTGTTGCTTGGTAGCTCAAAAAATGTCAAGG